ACTTCAGATTTTAGTAATGTGTTTATGACATTTTTATATCACTGAAAAGAATGAAGAAAACAAAAATGAAACTGTATTCTATTTGCAAATCAAAAACTACAGGATTTTCACAGGAATAAAACAGCACCAAGTATTGGCCACAGCAGCATATAAGCTGCACCAAATAAGGTGCGAATAAGTCACAGGTTCCTGATCTGGCAGATCTGGCTACTGACATGTTACCAACTGATCATAAATTCTGTCCTTTCACTTCTTAGATTTCTAGATCACACAAAAATGTTGACCTTAATCTTAGAATAATTCGACTTGTCGCAGACAACTTCCTCCTAGCTTGTATCAAACCTGCTCGACTTACAACACATGTTTACCTCAGATCAACCATCAGTCAATGACAAGCATTATAAACTACACTGACCTCATTGCTCCCTTATATAATCTGCGTTACTCATCCAAAACTATATCTCACTTAAAATTTCCATCTATGTCTGAGATAGAAAAGGACCACTTGCGTGGGTTTTTTTCCATTTTGTAAGACTCAAAACTGACAAACATTGTTCACCACTAACACTACATGTCCTGACAAAGCACTGGCGCAGCACAAACACACACTTGTGACACAAGATCAAGCTCAGACGTGGCACAGAAACCTATTATTTTCCAAGTAATAATGAACCCGACGTTAATGTGTGTTTAATTGTTTGGCAATGAGAGAGAGCGAGGGGGCGCAGACACCAGTTCAGAATGAAGCCACATGTGAAAGTGTGCTGAGTGTGGATCGTTGGGCAAGAAGTTTCATCTAACTGGTCTCATATGAGACGCCACAATATCCAAGCACATTATGTCAATATTAAACCATTAGCAGAGTCGATGTAGATTCAGTCTCAGTCTTTTGAACGGTAGGACAGATACACAGTATCAGTCCTACACGGCACTATCCATGTCAAATTTCCATTAGTCTTGTTTTGATAGTTGAGTCATTTTTCAATTAGAAATGTTCATAGTCATTTAGCCACATATAACTTTCTATTTATTTTTCATCTTAGAGAGCACGGCCATTAACTGCGTCTCACATGTCAACAAAAGTAACACTGTTGGGAATGTAAGAATGAGTAATATGTTGAGCTAATGTGTTGAAATCTCCCTGTTATTACTACAAAAAAAGTCTATGAAAATTGAAAAAAAAAAACAAACTAAAACAGCTGTGGTTAAGAAGGAAATCCAACAAATTGTAAAAGCATGTATGTGTACGTTGTTTGACGTGACATGAAAATTTTTACTCACCGTCCACCGCCTGCCGCAGCACCTGAAGTTTCCTCTGTTTCTCCTTAATTCTGTCGTAAGCACCAGGAAGGCCAGAGCCCACAGACAGGGCTGAGTGGTGATGAGGCTTCCTGCTTTTGAGCCCACTAAACTCCGGGTAAAAAGAGTCTTTCTCCCTGCCCACAGAGTGGGTACTCAGGGCACTACTGCCCCTGCGTGCATCCTCCAAAGCCCCGAAACGGAGGGCCTCCGGATCAATGCAAGCCAAGTCTACAGAGGAAGCCCAATTCTTCCTGGCCTGACTAGGAACCGGGTCTCGACTGTGGAAGGGTAGAGAGCGCCGATCCAGTTCCACTGGCCGGTGCTTCTTCTGTGTGTGGATAGGTTGGAGATAGGGATAGGAATTCTGTTGTTGCAGTGAAGGATGCTGGTGGTAAAGGTCTGTGGGGGATTCAGAGTTGTGGTGATAGTCGGGCATGTGATACTGTAGTGACGCGCCCTCATCACCCTTCAATAAACCCTGGATTGGCAGGGAACCCATAGAACGACTCAGGCCCCGGTTCAGAGATGTCTGCTCCTGCGTCCTGGCTCGGTAGCGCTCCAAAACCCTGGGGGCTGCACTCCTTCCTAAAAACAAAAAAGAAAAAAAAATGCCTCTAACTTATCTTGATTTAAGAAATTGCCAAAATCTTATTTAAACCCAATGAATTCTATATTTTTAAGGTCTAAACCATTTGCAACTGTAAAAATTGCCAAAATCTTATTTAGGAGAAAAAACCAATGAGTTCTATATTTTTAAACCATTTGCAACTGTACGAAATATATATTTCTCAAACCAAGTATTTTTTATTGAACTACAACAAAAACACAAAGCCGCCTTAAATGTCAGTAAAATATCACACATTAAACAAAGTTAAAAGGATATATAATAGTATAAATTAGTTGTAACTTAGTTGATAACATTTAATTATTAATTGAACTGCAGCAGCAATAATGAAAAACTAAAGTTGAATATTAAAAATAGGACCTACAGTGTAGTAATTCCATCAAAATAGGAACACTTCTCCAGAGCTGACTGTCTGTGCGACCACTGTCAGGAGAACAGTTATATTTAGCGCCCCCCAGCTTTAACCCACAGGAGTCACAGACTCCTACATCAGCACATCTGTTTTGTTTTGAAGCTAAATTTGTCCCAATTACTCAAAAACAATAAAACATGGGTGGACCGCCATAGAAAATTATTATTTTTAACCACACCGACTTTCTTTAAAGATGTATTTAAAAAAATATCCTGGTTTTATTGTATACTGTAAACTCTGCTCTAGATTAAAAGAGATGAACCGAAAAGCAAAGACATGCAGTACGAAAGCAAAACAAGATGAGGAGACGCTGACATCAGCGGGAAGGAGGAGATGCTAGGTCCCGTAAAAAACGCTACATGTGGCCAATGTTTGGTATGAACACATCAAAGGCTGATAGAAACACAAGGATTAGATTGAGTGGAACAGGATGTCTTGTTTTTAATGCTTTTTGGAGCTAACACAAGTGTGCTGCTGCTGCTATCATGTGGAATTTAACAGTTTTGAACTGGCAACATTAAATACCTAGCATGCAAAATAAAAATGGGGCAATGGCCCAGGTCCCTTAGCAGCAATTACTACTTGAAAGCACTGGAACACAGGAGAGACGATCCTGTGCTCCTTGAAAAGAAAGGCGGCTAAAGAAGCCAGGAAGACTCTTTGCATGTACTTTCCCTAGGGCTGGCTGCTGCTCAACAACGGAAACAAAGCTCTGATACAAACAGCACAGCAGCAGCTTCACTGGTGACTCCAAAATATGCATCTGTAATCAATGCCATGCCATGCTTACATAATTGGGACAACAGCCACGCTTGCTCTCTATTCACTTTTCCATGGCCTGGAAAGATGCCGCAGTCCTCTCAAAAACCACTGGGAGGATTTGGTCATATTTTCCAGAAATATATCCGATTTAGGCTCGTACTGTGTTGCTGCTCATCTGTGTTTAAATCTCCTCCAAGAACTTTGAATGAAGTGACAACCAGGCCAAGCATTCACGTCCAATACTTTGCTACCAAAGTTGTTTCGTCTAAACAACCCGGCTCACTGTCATTGGTCGAGACCTGTTACAGTTTTCCATGGAAATTTCTACAAGAACTTTTTGACAAGTGATCAGGGGATCTTCAACTTTAAAAATTTAAATGAAAAGCCTTATCAGAAAATGTTTGTGAATCCAACAGTTGACATTTGAACAGTGTCTAAATTAAACTTTCTTATCTGAGCCCTGGTACATCCTGGTTCTAGAAGTTTTTTATTTTTTTAATATCTTCTAAAGGTTAATTTAACACAAGCTAACGTCTTCCCTCCTCTATATTTACTTAAATATAAAGCAGATGCCACTGTTACCAAATAATGAAAGCTAGTAAATGTGTGTGTTTTAGCTCATCTTACCTGAAGGTAAGCCTTTGCCCCTCAGTCTCTCTCGAATCTCTTTACTCCGCTCTGGAAGAGACTCTCTATCAGTCAGCAGACCGTCGAGCTGGAAGAAGAGTGGGAGTAAGAGGGAAAGAAAAGCAACGGGAGTTCAGTTTTCTTTTTTAAGAAGACATACATTCTTAAAATGCCATTGCTGTGTAACTAATCAACAACAATCTGAAAAAGAAATAACAGGGAATGTTGAATAAGAAGAAAGCAGAGCGTCTACCTGGGAAAGGCTGCCCAGCACCAACCGCACCAGTTTCCTGACGTAGGAGAAGGGGGGGTCACAGCTGGAGTTTCGGATGTGTTTGCTGCAGATGTCCAGCACCGTGCGCAACGACATTCGACTTAATGTGACATCATCGCACATGTTGAGAAGGAGGCTGTTCAGGTGTTCGCCTAACTTCATTGGCTGTGAAAAAAAACAAAACAGATAAGGTTCACAAGGTACAGTGTTATAATAAGGTTTTGTTAATATAATTAATATATATATGTATGTATATATATAATTATATATATATCAATATATATATACACACACTATATATATATATATATATATATATATATAGTGTGTTCTAATATCTATTTCAGCTACTTCATTATATATATATATGAGGAACCGGAGTTTCATCCCAAGAAATAAATCTGGGCCAGACATTTCCAGAAACTAATCAACAGAAGGTAACGCCAAATAAATTATGTATTGAAAAATGCAATGTTTTTAGTAACACATTTTAAATATAAAGTTTGTGGCAAAATAAACAGATATTAGTCATTCCATGCAGTGTTAAATCGATAGCTTTGTTCTGACCAAGAATAAAATAGTTTTACTTATTGTACGGTGTTTTGACATGTATTTGAGTTGATCTGTACTCCATTAATAGTTTTATTTTAAACACAAGTTTCTGGATGAGATTACATGTATTTACTTCTGCTCACGCTTCATATTTTTATCTAACCAGATAAGCAGGCAGTGTGGGTGAAGTGTTTAACCTCACTGTTATAATCTCCTTCCTTTGAAACACAGACTCTGAACTTATGCAAAAAATCAGTTCAGCCTCGTGAGTTGTTTGTTCTATCTGTTATAATCTCCTTTCCTTTGAAACACCCTGAAAAGACCCTGAACTTATGCAGAAAATCAGTTCAGCCTCGTGAGTTGTTTCACAGAAACACATTATATTTAAAGGAAAGTGAAACGAAAGTGAACTACTTGTCATTGTGACACAGCTCACCACTGCACACACAATGAAATGTGAGCTCTGTTTTTAACCCATCACCAAAGTGAACAGTGGGGCAGCTTTAAGAGCCCAGGGAGCAGTGTGTGGGGGGGCGGTGCCATGATCAGAGCACCTCAGTGGTAACATGGTAGCCTCGAACTTGAAACCACCTCAACCCAAGTCCACTTCTTTAACCACTAGGCCACCACTGTCTTTCAGTTGAGGCCGTGAAACACCAAGGTGTGAAAAGCCAAGGTTCCTAGTAAAGGTCTTTTATTAAAGTTCTTTTGTATTTTCTCAATGCACCAGACACTTTGTGTTCCACCTTACAAACTTTCCATCTGTCACATACAGCAGACACTTAGTGGATAAAGAAAAGGAATTTAATAACAAAAAAAAAATCATAATAAAACGAACTGAGGCCAAACCTGGGTTTGATTCCAGTTGTCGCAAACATGTGGGCGGTACTTTCTCACTGATCTGAACACACCGAGCTAATCGGGTTTTGCACCTGACTTGCTCCAAGTAAGCTATAAACACTGAGCCAGAGCGTCAGCCGAGAGAAACACACGCTGAGATTTATTTGATACAGCGCGCACATATCCATCTTCAGGCCAAATACTTGGATGCTGATCTAATTTTTAACACTGTCTGCTCAGAGGGTTGTACAAACTTTGGCAGAAAAAAATTGCACTGAATAAAATTGTTTTGTAAAAATGTATTTCAAATATTTATATATTAAATATTCAATTGCAGATGTCATAATGTGATTTTCAGTGTCTCAGTGTTGTACGAAGCTTGAAGTTGTATTTTGTCACACAGACATGACACGGTTCAGTGTCACTGACATTTAATCCTCAAATATTTAGAATCAGAAAGACTTTATTGATCCCTAGGGGAAAATTGTTGGGATTCACAGCAGCAACTCCTATTTCAGAAGTGAAATAAAACCAAGGGTAAGGAAAAGAAAAATATGACTTTTGAAAATACCAAAAAAAAGAGGTTTGGACATAATCATAGCCAAATATGTAGGTGTTGAAAATGCGGTTGGTTTAATGTTCGTTAAATTAATTAAAATATTGCACAGATTGAAGAAATTATTGTACAGATAATGTTCTGGATTAACTGGTCTGGGGTTGGGCTAGTATGAACTTTACTGAGATATTAGTGAAAAATGACTGTTAATAACTTTTCGTCATATTCCATATTGCGAGGTAAATCATCAACTGTCCAGCAATGTTTAGTTGTATGGTATAATATGGTATAGATAATTGCAAATGGTGATCAGGAAAAGAAAAACAACTTAAGTTAACAGTAAGTTTACACAAATAACAGCTTTAAGCAGAGATACTTCAGTTACAGCCATTGTAAACTGTTTGTGATACATCAGGACAACATATACTGTCGTTATTTAGACCTTGGTCCTCTATTGACCCCCTCAGGTATTTTTTATACTGCCTGATTATTGGCCACAAGTTGTCCCAATGTGTCACATTACACAAGTAGTCAGAGCGCCTTCAGATGTGCTGTCACCTTATTGTACTGATTCTCTTATAAATAAAGAACCCCAGCCACCGGAGGGTGCAAATACAACAAACATCCTTCCTAAGTATTTACTATTTAAAACCTACTGTTTCATTGCTTGTCTTCTTGGTGAAAATCAATTGTAATGGTTTACCTGACTTTGGGGGATCTCATAGTCTGCTCCCCAGAACAGGGTCATCCCCAGAGAATACATGTGCATCTGGAACAGAAAGCATCAGATAAATGTATCAACGTTTTCATGAATTCAGATACAAAAAAAAGGCATTTCGATGTGTTTCAGTCAGACTGCTCTCTCTGAACACATGACTATTGTTCTGCTAACATTCTAAAAAGGGAATTCTGTCTTTTTTTGGTAAAAGGGGAAAAAGGGGCTTTTTAGCCTGAATCCAAAAAACATTTTCCATTTCCTTCTCCTTATTACTGTGCACTCATTACTTGGATAGAAATCACTTCCCCTGAATGTTGGGCTTGGTAGAGGAAAGAATAATTCAAGGGCTGCCAAAGAATGCAACAGAGCCGTCAAGTCCTTTTAGGAGTGGATCTCACGGCGCAGGTTTAAAGGCACACACCTCCAGACACGGTGGAAACTGAAGAAACATACGCTGAAGCAGCGCCAGCGTTGCATGAGATTCAAACTGTGAACGGAAAACTGTGGTATTTACAGCTGACGTATATTTACCCAGCCTCTGATAATGACAGAAACAGATTATACTTTCTACACAGAAATAACTGGGCAGGGAGACAGGCGCAGGGCTGGAAAACTGACTCAGCACAAAACTGTGTTGAGGTCTGAAGGGCTGTGCCAGAAACAGGAATCCAGTCATGCAAGCTTTCAGCTCTTCTACCAGAGGGGCCGAGTCAGAAACATGGAGGTGTGGATCTCAGAATGCAAAAGAGGGCATTTAAAAACAGGACACTGCAGGAAATGATGTCACTGTTTTAAACCCTGAACGGCACAAATGTAACCTTACAATATTGAAACAGTAAAAGGGAACAGTTATGGTAGAGTTAAAGCATAACTGCCCCATTACAATAACAGCAGGATTTAAAAGCACAGTGTTAAAAAAAATCCAAGTGAACAAGTGTGAAATACAATTGTGAAAGTTGGAAACAACACCTTTTCTCAGTTACTAACGACAGTGTGTGCACTTTCACATGATTTCTGCCTCGTCCTTGAAACATAAGTGAAAGTAAACACTTTTATGAATACGGGAAGAAAACGAATGTTGCTGAAGCTGAAGCTCTAGAGAGCTGCTGTAATTCGTTTCCAAGTGGAAGAAAAAGATGATTAAAAAGAGTTCAATCCATTTCAATTTATATCAAAAAGACAATGAAGCAGTTCTTTGGTTTGTGTTTACATTCCTGTTCAAACCTACAGTTTTTTTCTTTTGTTAACCTTCTGTACTGTTGGCTTTGTTTTCACCTTTGGTTTAACTGGGAAGTCTGTTTGCATTTCCTTCTATAAGTAGACCATATCAAGACTGACTTGCAAACCGAGACCCATGTTTTAGGGGCAGATCAGAGTTAGCTTGGTTGGTCTGCACCTGAGTTCTGATGATCTATAACACACGAAACCAACTGTGGTCCATTTAAAGTGGACCAAACAGCTATGATGTGAAAGAGCTCTCAGAAAAAACCTTCAGCATACTGTACCATTAACTCTCTGAATATTTGATGCAAAAATCTGAATTAAATTAAAAAGTGAAACTATGTATGCTTCTTACATCACTTTAAAGGAGTCATATATTAAAGTGGTTCCTTGAAGTCTAAATTAAATGTTTAGTCGACTAAATGCTTCAGTCGAAACTAAAATTCTTTACAGTTGCTGTGTCTTTAAATGGTAATGAGCCGCTAACTGCTCCACTAACCCCTTCTGTGGCGGACCTGAGGACGGCTTCATGTAACCATGGCAACAGTTGAGCAGATTCAGAGAGGCCCATTCATGTGTCCTTCTTTTGCGTAACTGGTACTTAAAGAGTAGACCGACGCTGAGGTGCAAATATGAGTTCCAAACACACGACAATGTCATAATATTATTGTTCCCTTTAAGGGTTAGGGAGATTTTCTACCTTCTCTATGTCGGAGACTGTGGTCAAGGAAACCCCCTCTAGGACCTCTGGAGCTGTAAATGCCCTCAGGTCCTGCTGAGTCACATACTCATCCATGAAGGAGATGTTGCCAGAGGGCAGGAGCAGCAGAGACCAGGGAGAGATGATGAAGCCCATGGCTGCAGGGTCTGGAGGAGGAGGAAACAGACGACAGTCATCCACTGCTGATATGATCAGGAACAATGGCAGAAAAAAACAAACAAATTAAATTCCTAGTTGTTATCACGTGCACGTTCTTAAGGTGAAGTGTTTTAAAGTGTTTTAAAGTGTTTTACAGCTGAGCACCAGCCTTAAATGTCGACTAAGCATTTACGGTCTGACTAGACATAACCAACCGGCGTGAATGTGTCTCGCTCAGGAGCTTGACATTTATGGAAATTCAATATAATTGAAGTAAACAGAAAACACATGCGTCTTGCTGAGTGTGGAGACATTGAAGCAGAGAGGAATGGCTACACAGCGCAATTGTTTTCTCCTACAAAGCCACGGCCAACGCTAGGGTTGGAGAAGGTTTTAAAAATACAGAAAGGAATGTTTGAGCAGCGCTGCAAAATTCTTGTCTTTGACTGAAAGTGGAACTCGTGCAAAAGAAGCACGGAAAAGAACAGAGGATCCGGATCGGAGGCACCGAATATCTGCTTTCAAAAGCTGGAATTTACTATGTAAATACAAGTTTCCTGTTTAAAACTCATGTGAGTAGGGACTGGGTTACTAGGTGTAGCCCACACAAAACCTTTAATCTGGATAAGCAATAGTAGAGCTAAGCAGAAGTACATGACTCAGCCTGAGCAGATTTGGTTTTTGGGCGGTAAACAAAATAATCAATAAGTTCATTAGACAACAGACATGACACCATGGTGATGACACAGAAGCTAAGGGAAAAGACAAACAAATGAGTCCAACATTTAACCAATTTAACAACTGTACACTAAGTGAACTGATGCTGCAGTGACCAGGATGGTCAGGGTTAGACATGGGCAGATCAGAGGGACAGTTAAGGTGGAGCAGTTTGGAGATAGAGAGTCAGAGAGGTGAAGGTGAGATGGTTTGGACAGAGTTAGTGAATATATCAGACAAAGAAGGAGAAGAGGACGACATCAGAGGAGATTTGCAGGTGTGGTAAAAGAGGACATGGAGATAGTTTATGTGAAAGCTGTGGAGGCAGGTGGTAGGATGAGATGGAGGCAGATGAGCCGCTGTGGCGCCCCCTGAAGGGATTGACCAAAAGACAAAGAAAAATTAGAGAGTAAGTGAATGTTTAGGTCTGATAACCTTTATTTTCTGAACCTAGGGCAGAGCTATGTGGTCCAAAATCATAGTTAGTTAAAGTTTTATTTTAAAGAAAAATGCATGCATCTGAAAACAACTCTGCACCGTTCACTTTAATGGCGCTGCAGTCAACACGACTGACCTGTAGTCCCTCAAACATTTGTTTTGAACTGGTTTCTAACGTTCTGGACAAAAGACATTCTTTAGCTGTTTGTCTCACACTCTTAACCTGAACCACTAACAAATACCAAGGCTGCAAATTTTATTTTTCCCCGACTAAGGTTTCTGCCTCTTCTGTAAATTGCTATTGCCCAGTGTGAGGGTCCTAGTGGCACAGATAGAAAGAATTATATTAATATAGTACATATATTAATATATGTCAATTAGGGGTGTAAGAAAATATGAAAGCACCAATATATCGTTTTTTTAATTAAAAATTAACACGCCAGTTTTCATAGCATTGGTTCATTTTATTTTGCTATTTAGCGATAACACCCTGATGTTAAGCAAATAACAGAATTGTGTGTTTATTGTACTAACAATTTTCCTACAATTAAACTGCTTTAAAAAACGTAAGATATTATCGTGCCTGTTGCATCACAGTGTATTGCATTTTTTGTATTGTTGCCCTTTTTTTTTATATATGTACCGTATAGCCAGATACTTGCCGATACACACCCCTAATGTCAATATTACACAAACACGTGCTCTATCCCTCAGCCATAACTGAAGGAATGAAGAACTGGAAATATATGGAAAGAACTTCTAAATGTACCACTGCAATTAGATACTTAAAACTCAACATTTCTTGCCAGAATCATTGAGGACATCTGTAGACGACCGTAGAATAAAGTACAGCAGAGCAGAAAAGGGGATAAAAAGAAAACAAAAAGAAATAGAAGGGTTTCTAGGTCCTGATAAAAACATATTCAAATGTATCAGTAGAAGACACTTCTCCAACAAATCAGAGATGTTCACACATCACATACTTAAACAAATCATTCCTAAACAAACAGTCACTAACTGCTGCTGTTTAACCGCAGAGCAGAAAAAAAAAGTGCCAGTGGTTGAGTGTTTGACAACGTGACGGCATTCACGATGTTTGAGTTGTGCCTGGACGGACAGGCAGAGAGTTTGACTTTAGTCAAATGTGCACTGGTTCACTTCCTCCACCGTCGCTGTTACCACACTGGCTCTCTGAGTGAAAAGCATCAAAGAGAGTCAGCCATTAGCAGCTTCATTACTGTTAATAGCTGACTAGGACCAACAAATGAAAAATGTTTAAGTGGCTGCTCTTTTTTTTATCCACTCTTGTGGTAGAACATACTTCTTTACATAGCTCAGTGACTTTATAATCACAGGTTCCAACATCTGCTCTTCAGATTTGAGCTTCACTCAGCAGTCTAAAACTGTACAAGAACACAGGGGGGGCAATGGTTACTCGCTACAGCTACAAAAACAGAGAAGCAGAAAAAAGGGCATGTTCATAATCACAACAAAATACAAATATTCAATCAAAACAAAAAGTTTAGATGATTAAGGGGATCCCTTTATCCGTACACTATCTCTGCTTCAGACTTCTGTGTCATTCTGATTGTTCTAATAAAACAATTATAAAACAAATTCAAAATATTTACATAATATAATGCATGCCTTTTCATGTTATCATGGTAATATAATCAAGTGTCAATGTTAAAATCTTAAACAAATATCCCATAATTATTTCTTTGCAACCTGTTTTTCCACCTAAGGTGTGTCTTTGTCAAGAGAGACACGTCATGGTAGTGCAGGTGAGGTCAAAGACAGGACAACAACAACAACATTTCTTAACGGGACCTGTCGTGTCAATGCCAAATGATCATTCAAACACAAACATATGGGAGTTCAATCAGCACATGGTCTAATTAAAAAAAAAGAAAAGAAAACAGACCCAACTTTGTCATGTTTTGAGAATTATCAGTGTGAGATGGTTCAACTGAAAATAATTTATAACAAAAAAAATAACATTGCCTGTATATATGTCTTTTCTTGGGTATTTCATGAATATATATTGTTTAACTGTCTGTGTGGGAAACTACTCTGGGTTTATCTGTGTTCAGTTAATTCACATGTAACAGAGTTTTATGCTGTTTTATAACAACGTTCTGACTGTTTTTCACTCCATATAACGTTACTCTCTCAGGTATAATTTCGATCACACCAAAGTTTGTTTACACCAAACCAGATTTTTCAAGTGTGAACACATCTAATGTGCTTTCTTGTCACCACAGGAACCACCGCTTCAACATCGCACTGATTCACATCCTGTCCACTGTCCCCCCCCGCAATAAACCTCTCTTAGTCACACAACATCGAAATTTCCTCCAGTTACAATGACACTCTGTCAGATGACATCTTTATCTCTCTGCCCTCAAGGACGAGGCATACACACAATCACGAACGACTCACACAAGGGGCAGTCATGAGTGTTGTCAAATTACTGATCATGGAGTGACTTAGACCTTATATTTAACTCCTCAATAACTAAAAATGTAAAAAAATAAAATAAAAGAATCAAACTAAAATGAGGCGTGTTATAGAGAGAACATGAGAAAGGAAACAAAGAAGATAAAAATGTACTACTGTACAAAGAAAAACGTGCACAGTATTTTAATTGCCAAAGCAAGGTACTGTAAGTGGAGTACACAAAGACAATAAATCCACAACCACCTCTGGGAAATGTCTCTGCAGACTTGATTCCACATGTTCCTACCTTTGTGAAAGAGTTCCTGAAGGCTTTCTGCACTCTGGCTGAGCACGGCCCAGACCTCCTCCTCCTGGAGAGGACCTCCACGGACCTCCAGGGCTTCTGCTAGAGACACATGCATGTTTCCTGTGTGCAGAGGGACAGGAGATTTGTGTAAAATAGCAGAAAACAAACACAAAAATAGGCTTTTTTTTATTTTAAAACAGACATACTTCCTGATCTATGACCCAAATATGTTGGTATGTTGTTAGTCAATGAAGTCAGGAGACACACTGAGCATCTACAGCTCATAACTCGGGGCCTGTACGTAGTGTTACACATATACTGGCAACAACAAACATAAATATGAGTTGCAAAATAAATAAATAGTGAACATATAAAAATGGAAATACTTATCCATTTACTATATTTATGCATTATACAAGTTAGTATAAAAATGAATCAAATCAAGTCAAGCTGTGTCATTAATATAACAGTGAGGACAGGCTCCAAACACAAATGTATACTGTGTCACGTTAACCAATTCTACTTCTTCATGGACTAACGTTGTCATTTCTCCGAATGAAAAAGGCTTGACGTCAGTTGGAATAGAAACACAAGCTTTAACAGTTATTTATAGAGACACATTTCGTGAACATGAAAGTGATTGTAAATCACAAGTGCGTTAGATCCCTGGATGAAATATTTCACGTATTTTCATGATATTAAATTGGAAACCACGTTTAATGACGGGTGTGGCTGAAAACACGCCTGAAGCTGATTAGAAAATGAGGATGTTTTGTTTTAAGTAACTCTAATTCTAATGTGTAAACATGGATTTGTTTGTGCTACAAAATTCTTGTAAACGAAGTATTTTTTTAAAGTACCATTATCTAAGATGAGGCTAAAATTCTGTAATAAATTGTGAGACTTTATTTTAATACCTCTAAACCACTTTAGAATGTCCTATAACTAAGGACAAAGTGAAGAGCTGACAAGATTCTTGGCCAGTTTGCAGACTTAACTGGTATCACATTCATTTTAATGTGGCTAATGTGACAACTGACAACTGGTGGGTTTTGAGAACAGACACGTATGTGTTTATGTGAGTTTAAACCTGCCTCTGCCTTCTCAAAATGTAAATGTCACATGGTTTCTTTGGTTTAAAGTAGATGTTAATACTGTGTCCATGTGAACTGATCTTGAATGTAACACGTCACATTTGTTATGGTCGGTGGTGCAAAGCCTGTCTCCGTTTCCCAATTTACATGGGGACTCTACATAGCAGTTGGCAGCCATATTTCTTTTGGCAGTGTTTTTTTTCTCTTTTCAACGACTCAAAGCTGGCGGTGACATGTGTGCCTCAGCGGACACAAGTGCTAACTCAGAAGCTTTGTATCCAATCATGTCTCGTTGGCGCAGATTACAGACCCTTTTAGGGGACTTGAAGGTTTTAAAAAGCTGCTTTTCAATCACCCGTGACTTGTCAAAACACAGTGGGTTTCGAGAACGTTTTTGAAGCAGTTCAGAAACTGCAAGTCAGCGACTTTAAAGCCAGACATCCAGTCTCAGACCTCTACATTAGAATTGCACCCAGAACTTGGTCGGGAAAATGAATAGAAATGGAATGGACTGTGATGGTTTTCAACAAAGATCATATTGTATTTGTCAACACTGAATAATACTAAACAACTAGTACGTTTACAGATGTGAGTTTAAAGATGTCAGCAGCGAAAGGAAAATCAAAAATACATGAAACACTGAGTCAATCAATCAATGAGGAACAATCACGATCCAACACACCCACCCTGATAATACGACCTGCAGGCCTTTTAAAACAGTTAGTAGCCAAGTGTACGTCATCTCTGAGAAATCACGTCTCTACAACTGTGGAACAATTTATTCCCCTTCTCCCGCTTATTCCTTTTCACAGGTTGTGGGAGACCTGAACACAATCCAAGTAGCCATTGGGTGAGGCTTAGGGGTTCATCTTTGGCAGTTTACCAGTCCATCACAAGACTAAACAGAGAGTCAAACAACCACGTTTATATTTATGGTCAATTAACAGTAAATAATTAACCTAGTCCTAAATGTTTTTGAACTATGGGAAAAAAATGTTTTTGAACTATGGGAAAAAAATGCCTACAGAAACACAAGATACAAAGTCCATAAAGAAAGGCCGCAGATCAAACCAAGCAACCCGTTACCTCGTGGCTGTGAAGCGTGTGCACCAGTCTCTACTGCAACATTGTGGCCACAATTTCCTACAGTGGTTAATTTGAATATTTGGTTGTAGAACAAAGTTAATTATTAAATAAATTCCAATAAGAAATCTCGTGTCTAGTCCGTGAGTAGGCAGACATATTTCAAGGTGGAACTTGTTCGTTGACCCTGCCTTTTAAAATAATGGGCTGGATCTCCTTGTAGTGGTGAGGGAGTTTCTTGTTTGCAGCCAATAATTGGTGGATGTTACAAGGAGGTTTTAGACCTGGGTGAACATCTTTTGGTAGATTTTTAACTCGACTGGGAGAAAAAAAATATATAATTCTGTGTTAACTGTGAGAGAGAATATAGATTCTCCCAAACTTTAGGCATGAATGTGTCATCCTTAAAACCAGTGAAGGTGAAAATTAACCAAGCGGCATACCTGACGCAACGGGGAAGAGAGTTATTGAGTAAGCATGCCACATAACTAATTGTCTATGCAGAAATGCTTGTTAACCATTCCAGTAAATGGGATGCACAGAGGGTGAAAAGAAGTGGGTTACTACCCATCTTGCTCATTACCCATGAGAATGAGGAGAGCGGCTGCTGTGAAAAAGCGATTGTTTCCTGGTCCTTGTTATTTCAACAGAGACCTACAGAGGAATGTTTTTATCTGCACTGAGGCTGCGGCCAGGCCAGCCCCTCTCTCATTGGACTATGTTCCTACTCATTATTGAGGGGGCTCAGGAAGCACTGGCCCAAAACAGCGAGGGCAGACAGCCTTCATCACTTCAGCCCTTCATTCTCATTTGGCATTTTTAAAACAGTAGGGAGGTTTGTTCCTAGGTATTCCAGTACTAAAACTCAGTATGTGAGTGCCTACATGAAGCTTATTCTGCTGCACACCAAGTACTTTTAAGTCAGTCACAAGGATTTGAAAGAAAATAATCCTGGAAACGTGATAGTGCGCTTTAGTGAAGCTTTTCCTTTCCTCCCACCTTCCTGTCTAAGATACAGCTGTAAACCCTGAAATGAATTCAGAGAAAAAAAAATCAATGACTGAGTAATAACTTGAGAAGTTTCTGCTCCTGCAGCTTTTCTCCATAACTGGTGCTAAGAAAATGAGCTGAAAAACATGTCCTGCTTTCTCCCCGTGTATTCTAAAATGGTTTGAAAACCAAAGTGCCCGAGCTTTCAAAGGCAATCACCCATTAAAAAATACATCAGATTCCACTGTAGCTTCCAAAATCATAACTCATAACATAAGTTATAAAAAAGAATTTGCTCATATCCTCCAAACATTAGAACTGTGGTCTCAGCTGGCAAAAACATTTGGAGTAGAAGCTGGTGAGGCGAGGATCCCTCTGCCAGCACAGAGGTGAAAATCTTCCTAAAGTTATCAGTGCCAGGAAACTTCTAGGACAAACTCTGAGTGAACCGCCTTTCCCAGAATCCAACTGTATCAAGCAGAATGTAAGCACACAATTCTGGTTTGAACACATGTTATCAAGGAAGGCCTGGATCACAATGTCTTTACAACCCACAAGACTGATGATGCAAGAAGGGGTGTTTTCTAAAATGGCAAACCAATTTCAAATAAAGAGCATTTATCTAATAATTCCATGAATGTAGAAAATACAATGCATTCATGCAGAAAACATGGGGCAGGGCATTGTTTTGACAGATGTGTTTCAGCTTCTTGGGATATAAATAGTGGTGGAAACGAAGGATAAAGGTGACACACCTAGAAAAAAAAAAAGGACACACCAACATTTGTTTTCATTAAGTGCACCCTTCACATAACTGAGGCCAACACTTGAAAATAATTTGACATCAATGTTACTTTTCCCACAACAGACACAACATAGGGCACAACAGAACTTATGCAGCAACTCTACATCCAAACAATAAACCACCCTGTATGTTCCGTGTCTGGAAGCAGCCAGAAAACAAAGCCATGAGACTATTCCATGATCATCAGCCCAGCTCTGGACCAACAGCCCCACTTCTCATTTTGGTCTCGACCTCATCCGCTCCATTTCTCTTAATCACAGGGTTGCTACGAGTACCGTGACAGGCAGAGCATGGTTTTGAGAAAACCTCACTCCAACCCCCCTCAGCTCTAACTCGCCTCCTGGCTTCTAAACACAGCAATCCAAACTCCATCCAATCCCACTGGCCATTTTTCCAGTGATGCTTACTCACACTGTCTTCGTCAAAGCCTTTGGATGGACATCTCGCTCAAACACACAGCATCACCACTTTCTTCTAAAGTCTTGTATCTAAATCCCTCATGACCTTTGTCCTGAACATTGCTACATTTCAATGGAAATGAAGGGGGAAGGGTGAGAATCTAACTCAGCTCTGACAAGTAGTAACAATGAATGCAAATAATAGATGCAACTTCCAAAATATATACCATGTATCATTTCAATGCCCTGGTTAGGAGATTTCAGATATTGGCAGTTTCAATTGCCTTTAAATCTCATTCTGTTAAGCAGCTTTTTGCTAAAATTAAAATTAAAGTGCAATGACAAACATTTACAGATGTACACACATTACAATGACAGCTCTCTTCGTTGGACATAATATTAACAAATCTGCATATGCAATTTGGCCAAAGTATCTTTACTACAAACAAACTTTTTTTGTTCAGGACCTTGAATGGAAAAACATATTTTGAAAAAAGCCTTTTAAATGCATGCTGTTGTAGAACGGAGGTAAAATATATAATCTTTGGAAAATGCCAGTCAGTCCACAATAATGAATCTATCTATTTATCCAAACAAATATAGTGCCAATTAGTGCCATTATATATTTTTTGTAAACCTTAAAAAAGCCATCATTTTTACAATGTTTAAAAATGCTTTTAACTTATATAAATGTGGCTCACTGCATTTTTACAATGTTTAAACATGTTTTTAACTTATATAAATGTGGCTCACTGTCATCACTCTAAAATACATAATAACAAAACTTTCGAGGCCCAGCTATGGGGCGCGGCCCGCATTTTGGAAAACATTTTATTCAGACGAAAGCAGTGGAGTCTTGGCCTCATCACCTCAGAGCTACTTTTCGCTGACAGAAACTGCTGACAACGTTAATGCCAAAGTTAGCTGTTAACCACAGCGTTTTCATTTTAAGCAGAAACTTACCGGGCTAAGATGAAGCTAAAAAAATCAGGAGAGAAAATGATGTGGCTTCTGCGACGAGGCTGCTATGAGTGTGCAGACAAACGGGAGCAGACGCCATCCCATCCACAAAGCATCTTGGGTCGTACAAGGCGTCAAGCGGCAACAGGAGCAGAAGCAACAGGTTAACGCTCCAGTAGAAGAAAATCCACTGCACTGTAGAAACTCCTCAATGCATAAACACGGCTAAAAGGAACGAAACAAAAACTTAAAATTAAAAGATGAACGTCTCCTTAAGAAGAAAAGTGATAAGCTGTACTTCACTACCGCTACTCTGCATTGAGCAGCCGTCCTACGCAATCGAGTTACCAATACTGCTGAGGCGCACAATAACTCCTCCCTTAGCCGAGCAGAGAGCGTGGGCTGGCGGGGAGTAACCGGGGAGTAACCAGACACCTTACTGTGGCTGTCCATTGGTTCTCTGTGTGTGGGGGCCTGTCGTTTCACCGTCTCTATAGTGACACACACCCACGCATATACACAGACCACATAGCTAAAGCTAAAAATAGCTAATGTTAGCCATAAGCTAGGTTTAAATGTACCCAAAACAGAGCAACGAAGCCAATGAGCCAAGAAAAGCATTTTTTTTAAATAAATAACTTCAGTCAGAAAATATAGGCAAAAATCAGTACAACACAGTAGATTATGTCCCATACTAGTCCCTAATAACTAATTTATGATAATTTACACATTAATGTTTGCAAAATATTCACTGAACGTTAGCCGTGATCCACCAACAAAGCTATCAATTAAACCCAAAACCGCTATTAAATTTTTTTAAAATTTTATTTTGATTTAATTTAAATTTTATTTGAAAGGCCTTGCTAATTATTTCAAATACTATTAAAACATCAGAAAGTAAGTTATCTCATCATTCACAAAATTCAAATGTTTGTTTAATGTTTATTTACCTATGTAGCAAAGGAAATTTATTCCAAGTAAGTTAATAAATCAAATTAGGAAAAACAATTAAACAATTACAGCTTATTTGTGCTAAATTAAATATTCCGGTTGAATTTGTGGTAGACGAATATTTATATCAATATTTATAGGTAATCATAAAAGTTTAAGTTTCATGCAACAATTTCTTTGCCTACCTGTGAATAGCTGATTTCCGATTCATTTTGCATTTTGTTTTGTCTATTGTCTCTTCCAACAACATCAAAGTTGACGCATGGATAGCTGTTAGGAAGCAATTCATTGTTGATTACTTCCTTCCTATTGTGCGCCACAAGCAGCAAGGCAGCACTATACACGGTCTGCCTTGCGCCATCTCGTGGTTTTTATCTATCATTACACGTTGGCAGACCAGTGAAAGGCGGCACGTTCTTCCATTTAGAACCTGTAAGTGCTAAAATGCTTGATTATTATCTCCTCCTGTTCACTGACACCATAACACCACTATAGGATTGACCTGATTCGACCCGAGTTTCTCTTTGGACTGTGGAAGCTGATATTCATGTTTTTCTGCATTTCAGCAGCTGATGCTGTTGTGCAATGTTTCATGAGAATACAACAAATGGAGTGCAGTATTGTAACTGGAGTTACATTTCTGAAAACAACACACCAGCGATATAAATACATATACAGTATTCTGTAATATTAGCACCATTGAATTAATAGTTATCATAGCACTCCAGAGTAGTAACTCGAAGGGAATTGAATCACTATTTATCTGGGAAAAGGAAGCAAATAACTTTGGCTGCAAATGGCATATTTAGTCATCTTGGAGCTCAGACACGTCTGTCTGCTTCTTAAGCCTGGGGTGTTGATTTTCATTATCACTTTCTGTAGGAACCAAGTGACTCGTTCTGCGATATTGCGTCTTTTTTCTATTGGTATTGTTGGCAGCCATCAGGATAATAGTTATTTCCAAATCAGGGAATCTAATAAAAATGTTGGTTACTTATTTTGGATGACCTTGATAGCTATTATTTGGAGGAAATGTTTTCATTGATGACTTTATTACAGTGTGTGTTTTTTACAGGCCCCAGGGAGTTTAGGACCCCAAGGCATTTTCCTGTCTTTGCTCAATGGTAAAGTTCACTCCCGCCGTGGCAGGATAACTCCTGCACCCTGGGAGATTCTCCGTAATCTGTCCAGCAGAAATGAATGGGGTCAATGGAATCTTGATCAGCAGTGTCTTGAGAAGCGGAAGCTAAAGGTCCTATAATTTGCAATTCCTTCTTCTGTCAGCACTAGCCTTAATACCCCTTAGTAGAGCAAGACTGAGCCCCTTGGGCAATTTGCAGTGAAGACTTGAAAGAGTGGATCTGCCTTTTCTGGCAGTCTGAGAAATGTGGGGCACCTGGCAGTGCAGGCTGAAGGCATGTGCTCTACTGACTGGTTAGCGTGGGCTCTGTATCCAGCTGGAACGCATTAAGAGGCTTCCTGAAGCTCCCTTTCGATTTCTTTCATCTTTCTCATCACCTCTGAAATGACCTGCCGGGAGTTAACTCCACATGTGCCACGTGTCGTGGAACGACCTGACGTTACTACAAGGCAAGAATAAATCCCATCTGACTAACTCTGAGGGCCATAATATAGGGGGCAGTGGTGGCTTAGTGGCTAAGGAAGCAGAGGTCCCATGGTCTGGAAGGCTTCAGGTTCGAGTCCACCAGCTGCCAAGTTACCACTGAGGTGCTCTGAGCATGGCATCGTACCCACACACACTGCTCCCCGGGTGCATAAAGCTACATAAAGCTGCTCCACTGTTCACTTTGGTGGGTTTTGGGTTAAAAGCAGAGGTCACATTTGGTTGTGTGCAGTGGTGAGCTTCACTTTCCTTCCTTTCTTTGTATAAAGTCAGATTTTCATGTACATGCTGTGTCTTGTCCAAGCAGACAATCAGGCTTCCTGTGACTCCTGTGATGAATTCTTCTAACCTGAATTGGACCTGAGGTGAACAGACTTGCAGCAGTACTTTAATGTTCAACTGCCTGGATGTAAGGCTTTATTATTAACAAAGCGGTTGTAACGATCAAAGAAAACCATTCCAACAACCACACTCTGATCAAACACTCCCTGTTCTGTTTGGTCAAAGAGTGAAGAAGGTTAGAGAATGAAACTCATTTCTGTCTGCATAACGAGGAGCAGAGAGTTTAAATGCTCTTTTTCTGTCGCCGTAAATCACAGAGGACTAAAAGTCCCACTCGCTTTAATGTGAAACTGAGGTCAGTTTAAATCACTTTTATCACATTAGTGACTCATAATTTCAGTCAGTTCCATCTCTTTGACCTCCCGTCGAGTCTAAAGAACAACAAGAGCGGTGTGTGCATTAAACAGAATGCTTGTGTATGAAAATATCAAAATATCAATGGCTTTTCTCTACATATTTTAGTCAAATATCATATTTAGCACGTCTGCACGTGAGGTTTCCTTGAGATTATTCCTTCTTTGTGGTGTTTTGAAGGATGTAATTCAACCTGCTCTTCTGCCTCATCTATGGAATAAAATGGAGTTTCTTTCAAATGTTTGTATCTGTTTAGAAAAAGAAAAAGAACAAGACAGAGCAGGGCTGTCAAACTCATTTTCACCTGAGGGGGTGGGAGGGGTGGGGGGGACATCAGCGATACAGCTCCCCTTAAAGGGCCAGTTTTAAATGGAAGACTCTGAAAACTGAAATTGATTATTATTTTTTCAAATGACCAATATTGTTCATTACTGTGAAATATAAAAGTTTAATTCATCAGATTAAGAAACTCTGCTGCATGGACTTTATTAAATGCTTTTTAGGCTCCGTGGACCGTACACAATGACTTGGCGGGACACATTTGGCCCCCGGGCCTTGAGTTTGACATAACAGATAGAGCTAGGTCAGAACCTGTTACAAAGTTTAACGGGTTACTATTCGAGTTTAGCTTACACAAGACATGGTTTTAACAGTAAAGCTGATGACAAAAATTATATTAGTGCTTATTGATATTAGTTCAAAAACCACTCATTATCATTATCACAGCCTAGTTATTCATGTAGAATATATCCACGTGTCCTTTTTTCTAATGTGCAATAATGTACATGTAATAATGTCAAACTCACTCAAACATAGTTATGTATTTGTTTCTACTCTACTCAGTAATTGGTATTCTGCCTAGTATTTTGTATACATTTGTTTGAACTTTTTTCTCCTTACTTTACTCTTTTTTTATTCTATACTTATCTCCAGGTTGAGCCCCGTACAAGAATTCCTACATGTCTGGACTGTCTGGGTTTTCTTTGGCACAAATGGCCAATAAAAAGCTCCAATTTTAAAGGTTGATGTAAAAAATTAATGTTTTGGGAAAGGTTAATTAAAAAATCAGATTAGATTTTATGTAACACAGCTCAAAGATCAATGAGGCGCCTGAGTGATGTTTCTCAGCACACTTTAGTTATAAAAGACAGACACCTATATTGTTTTTCTATTGATTATAATATCTTTGATCGATCGTTTTGAATTAAGAATCTCAAAACCACCTTATGTCTTAATAATAATAATAAAAAAGTCCAGTTCTTTTATAACCTAAAATACATGTCCGAGTGTTCTATTTCAAATTGCCTCCAGACTTCGTCATGTCCTTACTCTGAACTTTAAATACCAGATGTCATAAAAATTCAATTTTAATCTCAAAGCCTCTCCGGATGTTCATCCCTTTCGCCTTGGGTTAACTACATATTGGCTGGAGCTGTAACTCTCCAAAGGATGGAAATAATAACAGACAATGAGTAAATTAGAAATGTACATGTTGAGTAAAGATAAAACGTCACCTCTGTACTCTGTACTCTGACCTCCGCTACTAAACTTTAAACAAGTTTTACCTCCTAAGGGTTTAAGACTTAAAAAGAAAAAAATTAGATATATGTACTTACATATTTACAACACAGTGAAAATGGGAGCAAATATAAAAAGCAATGGTAATAAAATTAGCAAAAAATGTAGAAAAACATTTCTAAACAAATGATTAAAGATTATATACCAATATATACTTAGCAGCAGCATCAACATCTCAAACTAAAACACATTTTTATAGTTTAGATTTGTGTACATCCCCCACTAAATATGTTGTGTTGTATTTTCCCAGTTCACTCACAGACTGTGGAATTACTGCTACGTTATAGCACCCCCTGTAGAGGAAAAACAATAAGACAATAAAAGAAAAATGTTGTTAAATGTAAATATTTGTATTACTATTGATAAGTAAAAAAAAAAGTCAGTGTGAAATTATTATGTATGTACACAAATACTGCGTTAAAAATACTTTGGGGAGTCTAAAAATATTGTCCTGAAATGTGAACATAAAGATACACGTCTTATCACTGCGTTAACACCGAGCCTCTTCATCGGCTCTGGCGGGTCAGTGCAGGATGGGAACAATCCCTCCCAGATCCAGAGAGGGAGCCTCCATCCATATGATCTCTACCTCCCTCACCCTCTCTCCTCCCTCGTCTCCCTCCTCCTGTGTTTCTCGGGCCCTTGACGTCAAACTTGCTCCTATTGGGTTGCTATGACAACATGTCTCTCTCTCTCTCTCTCTCACCCCGCTCCCCTCCCTCTCTGTGTATCTCTCTTCCTCCCTCCCTCCCTCCCTCCCTCCGTCTCCCTCTATCTCTCTCTATGCATCACCAGCTCCACAATGGTACAGCCAGCATCTTGCAGCACAATGGTTACAAGGTGGTGAGAGCTGAAGGGGGAAACAGTGATTCAGCATCAGCAGACCTTGATTTTTTGGGGGGGATCGTCGTCACTTTCCGCATCTTTATGACCGTTTGAAAATCAAAGCCTTCAGCCATGGTTGCTCCACCGGTCTCCGTCGGGATGTTTTGAAAAAGGACTGTCACCGGGCTGCGATCGTCATCAGCTGGCACGGAATGGTAAGGCCCAGTGCGGGCTCCTGTGTTTGTGATGTGCGATGTGCGATGCTTAAAGCGGGGCTTCATCTGCCGCGGACACCGGGGTATTGATTGGAGGAGACGGTTAATGAAGTCCACTACAGCGACGGTAGAGAAACGAATACAACCGTAGACAGATTCTCCGCTGCGGATGTTTCACAATCGGGGGACATGCGTTATGGCGTTAGTCCTTCTCTCTGTCTCCCATCAAAACACGCATCCTGTGATTGGCTGGGGGTAAAAAAAAAAAAAAAAATCACAGGGCATCTTAGTTGGACTTGGAGAATAACGTCACATTAAAGACACTGGCCTTTTGTTATTCAGGGTTTTCCACGTTAGTCTCAACATTTATTCATCTTATACTTGTAGTCCTTTAGTGGAGCAGCAGCAACAGCAGCAGCATCAGTATCAGTATCATCATCAGCAGACTGTATGGACATTAGCCTGGAAGTGCAGGAGTGGTGCAAATGGATGATGCCCCCCCCACCCCCCATCCACCCTCCCTCCCTCCTTTCCCTCTCCCTCCCATCCATCCACCCCCATAAAAAGTCAGCTGCGCACCTTGTGCATTATGCAGAGCATCACTGCTTCACCGGGGACATGGGATCAGTCTGTGCTCCATCACAACAGCCTCACACAAACCTGGGAGTTGATGATTGATGCAGTGTTTACCACTGGTTCTCTGCTGCTGCTGCTTCTGATCCTGAAGCTGCTGTACAGCGGTGAACATCATCTCTGAAACACAAGTCAGTTCACGGGGAATGGGATTCCTCAACAGATCGACTTTATTTCTGGCCTTCTTCTTCTTCTTCTTCTGCATATCCATTCTACCGTGGCACCAGTAGAACTGAGGAAGACATCACAACAACAGTTCTGATCTTCGCTGACACAAACTGCTGTCTTGTTGTGTTTACTAATAATTCCTGATATTTTTGGCTTTTGTCTACACACGTTCCAACGCCCGCAGTCAGCAGCTAATTAGTTAGTGCTGTGGAGTCGGTACAGACCAGGAGGTGTCACAACAAACTGTCCCTGATCAAGTATGAAAGCAGGAAGGTTTTAGTGCCGTGTGACCTTGGCTGCTGAATTATTCACCATCAGTCGTCCACGATTGTGAAAGTGCTGCAGGGAACAGGGCTTGACGAATTAAACACAGTGTGTTTCTGCAGAGAGACTTCAAATCTGTGACGATGACATTTGACTGTCCTCGTCTGATGGCGTACAGGACACGCTCTCACATGTGAAGGTGTGATGTGCAGACCTGTCCTCCGCTTCATAACAGGCTCTGCAGGGTTACACACAGTGATCACTGATATTGATCCAGTAGGTATTTGGTAGAGATCAATAAAAAAACAATCTCCAAAACAGTCTGACGTTGTCCTGCCGCAGATGACGGCAGCGTTGTAAATCCACGAAGGTTTCGCAGACGCTGGATTATCAGTAGTCTAATCCTATGTTATGTAAAAAAAAAAAAAAAAAAGTTAAAGTAGCATTAGGACGAGGTCGTTGCTGTGTTACACACATGGGTAATATGTGAAGTGAAGGACAGCAGTTTTTAAAATTATTTTATTATTAATGATCCTAATTAGGATTTTGAGGTGTTGAAGTTTTGTCTTTATATTTCTGACATTGGTTTAAAAGAGAAACTGAAATTTGTAGCGTGTATAGTTATAAATGTTTTTATTATATTATTTTGACTATCAAATTATTAATGTGTATTTTTAATTAAATTATATTTTAGTTTATTTTCTATTATTTAAGTATATAATAATATGTAAATGTTTAACCCTTAGTTACTTACTTAATTATTTATTCATAGAGAACATACATGTTTCCAGTGTTATTGTTTAAAGTAGTGAAACACTATTGGCCAATACTGTAATTACTATCAAAATGAGAAAAGCTGTATTAGAAGTGATACTAAAGAGTATTTATTCTGCTTAGATACCGTTCTCCTATTGGTCAGTACAGGCCTGAGATTTTAACATTGATCAAACACTGTCACAGTGCTGGAGTCAAGTCTGTTGTCACTCTTACTGTGATGTGTTTCCATGAGAACGCGCTCGTCTCTTCCCATTAGTCATCTGTTTTGCTTTGAATCACTGTGTTGTCGAGAACAATAACAAGTCAAAACAGGAGATTCATTTATCTTACAGGTCTACCAACCAGTAGACTTCATATATTTTCCTAAAGCCTTTGTCCACTGTAGAGAAAAACATCCATTTACAATAGGATTTCCAATGAATACAATTGAATTAATGCTGAATTAGAGTATATTCCCTCAGTCTGATGTACGTCTTACCACTACAGAGAAACAGAGAGACAATAAAAAAATGAATTTAATCTGACATATAAAAAAAATGTTATGTCTGTGCAATGCATCTGACACTGACTGTCCAGCTTTCTTTTAAAAAAAAAAGTTATGTCTGTGCAATGCTATGCATCATCTGACACTGACTGTCCAGCTTTCTTTTGGTCACAGTTCCAAAATTAAGATATTAAATGTTGATGAAGCTCAGAGTGTGTTTGTAGCATTGGATGTTTCATAAATCAGATCAAATCTTTTTTTTATTTATCATTCTGGTTGTAATGGTTGTTTTACAGAAACTACAGTCGTAGTTTCCTGTTGTGTTCTGGTGTTCTCCTCTCTTAATCCTGAGATGTTCCAAGTTCTCTAAGAACTGCTGTAAATCAGATAAACGGGCTGGTGCCGGTGTCAGTGTCAGTGTCAGTGCCGGTGTCAGTGTCAGTGTCAGTGCTGAACATGTTGTTACCATGAAGCTCATCAGAAAACTGCAGTGGATGCTGCTCTGGATTTCCAGTAGCATGCCACTGGTTTTGCTAATTTCGAGGAGATGACGTGGGTGAGAAGTGAGTGAATGATGTTGGGTTAAAGCCAGAAGCAGCGGACGTGTGTGTTCTCGCTTAAAACAAACGTCAGTGTGTGTGTGTGTGTGTGAATTTACATCCACACTAACTGGAAGGTGAGCCGAGGAGGAAACATTGTTTTGTCGTTCTTGGACGGGCCTGCAGTTCGAAGTGTTTCCGTTCCCCTGAGCCCAGTGAAGGGAGGCTGTTTTGGGCCGCGCAGTAAAGGCCCGGCTAGCGAGGCTGCGTACTGCAGGAGAGGCTGAGGCTGCTGAACACAGGACTCCCCATGGAGCGCCCGGGGAGGGGGAGGGGAGATGGTTGCAGCGAGCCTGGGAGCAGGGAATGGTGGGAGCAAGGGAGGGACAAAAGCGAGAACGCAGGGAAGGGGAGAACGCGCGCCGACTGAAGATGGAGGGAGGACTGAAGACGTGAAGGGAGAGAACGCTGTGTCGTGTGCGTTCACCGACGTGACGTGGGGAAAATAGATGAACGTGTAGCTTTCACACATTTGACAGAGATGAGAGGACAGGGAGTGAAGACTGATGCTGGAAAAACGCACTGGTGTGAAGACGGACAGACACATTCTGTTTTGATCATTACTCAGCCAGCAGCCGCTGAACCACTGTCATCTCTGTAACAGTCGAATCCTGTAACAACAGCCAGGCTGCCTGTAATCACAGTTAACCAGAAATATACAGAGTCTTCTCAGGTAATTCAACTGTTTATATGCTCGTCACTGTTAGTTTAATGTTTCCACATGAGAAATGTTGAATAGGAAAATCAATCAAACAATTTGTTTGTACGACATATTTTACTACAAAATGTGTATTTTTGTGGATTTTAACGGTGTACCTTTAGCTTTAATTTATGTACTTTTCAGATATGGTACCACTATAGTTATCATATAATAATAGAATTATAATTTTCTCTTTAATTATGCCAGATGTCCGCCTCTGGATTACACTGTAGGATTTCTTGAAACCAAAACCATAACAGTAACTTACCTATTATTAAAATAATAAAATAAAAATCTCATTTACACTATACAAGTATAAGAGCTTGTATGTCGACCTTTGACCTCACAAGTGCTAGTTTTCACCCTGTGTGCTTTAAGTGAAAAAAAAAATCCCTAAAGTTTGAGATTGGGGGATGCGACCTGCCAAGAATCCAACATGGTGATTGGTTGTCCTCAGGACTGATGTGTCCACTGGAGCAGATTTAACAGAAAGCCCAGAATCCAAAACACACACACACACACACACACACACACACATGGAACAGTACTGCATCAGCATCAGAGAGAAATGATACACCTGTTTTCTCAAACAAATCTTTTACCAGTTTTTCTGCTTCTTCTTCTTCTTTTTTTAGTCATCCCAGTTGTTTATAAATATTTATTAGAATGTTTTCTCTGAATATTTAAGGAGTTCATTGTGCAGGAATCAAGAGATTTTCTTGGCACTTTCTCAAAGCACCACAGCCAGCCTGATGGGATTTGAACCTGTGATCTAATGACAATACTCCCAGTCTATTCAGGCCCAGCCACCACAGACCAACCAACCACTGTGTGTGAAAGAGATGTTTCATCTGGTTTTGAACTTTAACCTCGAACCTTTTGCGCCTAAGACGAAGGTGATGTAATGGGAAGGTTGAAATTATTGACCTTAACTCCATCTTTATTTTTCATCATATTTTTAAAATAGCCACAGCTTCCAAACATGTCACTCCTACACAGGTTCATTTTGTGCCATAATCCCTCGATATTTGTCCCAAAAAGTGATACGTTCAGCAGCAGGTGTTCTATTTTAAGGGTTTCCCGCCTGCTCACTTCACCCCGCTGCTGCGGCGTGAAATTGTTTTGATACAGACTCTGCAAGTTGTCCTTTACATAACTATGAATCTGTGATCGCAGCCTGGAAGATTTAAAATTCAGAAACGTGGGCACCATTCATTCAGCCGTCACTTCCCGGAGCGGGAGTTGTGCCTGTATCCACCGTGCACTCAGAACTTCATTACATTCTACATACAGTAAGTGCTGCTGCATAGTCACTGATGCAACAGCCAGTAATACACTCAGGGCAAGGTGTGTTTCTGAAAGAGGGGCAGTTTTTTCAATTTTCTGGTAAATGCTAGGATTTTTTTTGCAGGTGTTGAGAGTTGAGTTTTAAATTCTGTTTTTACTTTTATACACCAGAGACCAAAGCAAGTTATTGGTAGAAGCTGAGGAAGAGAGTAAACACTGAAGTAATGATGATAAAGACGGTCCTGTTTTCCCAGTCAAAACTAATGAAGCACTGGGAAAAATCATTGGCAAGACCTGAGAATTAGTATTACTTTTTTTTTTTGCCTTAAGTCTTTTCTTTAAGACTGGATTAACAATATTTCTGCAGTGTTACTGCCTCTCTGTAGATGGGCTTCAAATCCCCAATTAACTTTAACACTGTGATTTCTACAAAACTGCTTTTCCCAGACTAATTCCCCTTCTGTGGGATGGCTTTTTCTGTAAGTAAGTAACTGAATAATTTGTTTGGCACTGCCCTCCATTATTGCTTAGTGACCAAACTAAGGAGTGTGTCCCCGACCTTGGTAAGAAAACTTTCTATAGTCAACACCTTAGTCACCCCAGGCCCTGGGTCATATTGATCAGGTCAAGTGTAGTGTTGGCTTTAACCAAGACAGCATCTCAACCCGATCCATGATCAGCACAGATTTAAATGAATTTTTTTTTTTTATAAAGATTTTTTTTATATAAGATTTTATACATTTGTGCATTTCTTGTCAGATTTGTTTGTTATTCATTGCACAATGGAGAAATTTACACTGGTTTTAACTGACACAGGCAGCCACAGGAGGCGCTATTAGGCACAGATTTAAATGAATTTTCTTTTTTATAAAGATTTTTTTTATAAGATTTTATACATTTGTGCATTTCTTGTCAGATTTGTTTGTTATTCATTGCACAATGGAGAAATTTACACTGGTTTTAACTGACACAGGCAGCCACAGGAGGCGCTATTAGAGATGTGCGGTTCCTCTGGGAGTCGAACCCAGAACTATCTACTTGCAAGGCAAGCGTGCTACACTATGAACCCACAATTAGGACATATACGTATATATATTTTTTGAATAAACACAGATTTTGATTTGCAAGTTTTTGTGCTAATAGGGTAAAATGATTAGTCCTAAATTGATTTTAATTGAAATCCCTGCTATAAATAATTATGAAAAAATCTCCAAAAAGTTGTTATTGATTATACATTCTATTTCATCCTGTCTCCATTTTAGAGATAAATTCCTCATCACATCTAAACTGTCAACCACAACTCATATCTAATCCCACTCTTTTGAGATATGATTGTGTATGTAGCCTAGCTTAGCCTAGCCTAGCCTAGCCTAGCTTAGCCTGTAAACCTTCATCCAAACATAATCATTTTTTTCCTCCATGTGTGTTCAGCACTGCTGCCTCGTCCTTCCATTCCCAGCATCATTCTGCACTCAGAGAAGATTCAGGTGGTGTTTGTGTTTGTGTTATTACAGCGTACACTGATGGAAAGCAAATATTTTGGTCCTGGTGAGAGGTTTAATATCCTATGTACACAGATGGCTGAAGATGAAGGCACCGCAGATACAGCTGGCTAGGTGGTCTCTGTGATTCAGCATCGGTTTGTCAGATTAATAGCAAATATTGAGTTGCTTTTTTGGCAGCAGGGGTGTTTGTCCTGTCAGGCTTCACATATACACACTGTGGTATGGAACCGCGGTCGTGGTTGGAGAGTTACTGATGTGTTGTTGACGTCCTGAGTTTGCGTGTAATATTGGAACCTGTACACTCCATCATACAGACCTAGACCTGATAGTACATAAGTCAGTACTCTGGGCCAACGAAAACACATCGACAAAATCGTTAAAAACTCCTGCGGTAACTGCACTGGGGAATAAATTCCAAAACTAAATCCTGAATTAATTCTGTTTCCATTTTCACCACTTGCCAACCTTATCAGCACTTATTATTCCAGTTTGGGAAATGTGATCATTAGGACCCTGAGAGTTTAATTATCAGTCAAATAAAATCTGCTCGGAGCTCGGACGCCACTTGTGGGTGAGCGCTAGCAGCTAACTGCCTCCAGCCAAAGATGTTAATGCAGTGTAATTCCCTTATTCCACTTTTGCCTTTTTTTTAATTGAGCGGCAGGAATATATATGAATAATCTTAATTAAATCCCTGAGCTGCTTCTTCACTGTGAATTTTACCAAATTAAAATACATAAATGCCAATAGTTTAACAGCAGTGAGACTGTAAGTCCAAAGCAGCTAACAGTGGTATTGGGAGTGTGAAACACAACATATATGAGACAAAAAGTGCACAGGCAGTAGATTCACTGAATACAAATATTGTCTAAGTGAAAAGGTGTAAATGGATGAAAATGCTACTGTAGTGTAAAACACTTCACAGGGTCAACGAGGCCAAGGTCAAGTCCTTAAAGAGCCTTAAACCTCTCTAAATGCTGGTGGTTCACTCCAAATGCACTATATTCTGCGGCAGGTTGGAAACATTAAGGTGTCAGTGATTTTCACCTGCCACAGATAAACATTGCTGCTCCTGCCTTTTTCAAATTTCTGTGCCATAAAAAAAAAAAACTAAACGCCTGCCAAGAAAAGGCTCAAAGATAATGTGTCAGTGTTATTCTCAGTGACAGGGCAAAATGCCACACTATTATTGTAGGAGGAATATTTATTCATGTCTAAATCTAAAACTAAAATCATCCATATGGATGTCAAAAAGTGTTAGTGTCAGGAAGAATTAGAAGAAGAAAACATATAAGGCTTCGTTGTACGAGGGAGTCCTTGAATGCTACAGTATAGAAAACTATTGAGTTCCACAAAGGATTATCAGTATTAAGTGACATAATGTCTGCTGTTTCAAAGTACATATGTTTAGATCAACAAACAAAAACCAAGCTCCTGTACAGCACTTGTCAGTTTTCTGAGTTCCTTCCTCCCACTGTTGTGTCTTGCAGGTATTTATGAGCAGACATTTCTTATACAACTGCAGCCAACCAATCCTGGATGTGAAGATAGCCTTTTGTCAGGTGTGTGTTCCTTACAGGTAAAAAAGGTACAGTATTCACTCGCTTTCCTTCCCCCTGCATTGCTTTATATGTTGTGTTTTATATTGTTGTTTTTCGTTGTATGCAAAGTGAATATTTATTATTCAAAAGCAAAAATTTAAAAAACAAACAAACTGTTAACTGTTTAATAGAACGGTTTAAAGTACAGGTTAAACCAGGCGTGGGCAAAGTTTTTGGGCCACAATTGTCCTAAAATTGAATGGGGGGGGGGGGTTCGGGACACGACA